TTTTTGAGATGGGTTTGGGTTTTGTTATTTTCCTTACTGGCTGCAGTACAAATTGGATTTTCCGTAGGAGGGAGAACCTTTGAGTGCTGAGTCCGTGTCCACTCTGGATTCAAGGAATCAGTGGTCTTGTGGGATAGACTGAGATTTTCTTTCTTCCTTTTTTGTCAATTTGTTCTTACAATCCAGATAACTTAGAGTGCCCTGAACGAGTAGGATTCTGCAGTGGAGATTAATATTCCCTTATGTATGTGGACTTCATTATTTAAAAATTAACTTTACATGAACAGAGAAATTAGTTTCTTAAATTTCCTTTGCTTCTATGTTACATTGCCAAAATTATTTTGCCCACAATTTTCACGGCCATGTATTTAGCATAAGTAAACATCCGTGAAAAAAGTGGAATGATGAGTGGATTAAAGGATGTGGGAGGTTGCTATGGATATTTGTACTGAATCCTCAGCAGTGGCACTGAAATAATATAAGATGGCCCACACAAATTTCTGGTGATGATGATACAAAATTGAAAAGGTTTCCCAGGGAGGCTGTGGAGTCTTCCTCCTTGGAGATATTTAAAAGCTGTCTGGACATGGTCCTGGGCAACTGGTTCTGGATGGCTCTGCCTGAACAAGGGTGTTGGACAAGGTGACCTCCAGACGTCCCTTCCAGCCTCAACACTGTGATTCTGTGAAAATGAGCAATGGAAAACAGATGTGTAATAGAAGAGAAGGATTTGAAATGTGTGAATTTGATCATAAATAGCAAATCAAGCAACTTGGTGATGTGATACTGATGAGCTTAAAAAGTGGAATTTTGGACTTCATGTGCCAGCAGGCTTGACATCAGCTGACCAGAGGGACAAGGGTCCTTCAGGTACAGCTGCCTGTGGAATATGCCTTCTGCTTCCAGAAACCTCAGTAACTAGGAGATGAAGAATACTTAGAGGATTTGAAGAAAAACTTCAGGACTGACTGATAGTCTGAAAATACTTAAGTGAGAAAATAGCTGGAAATCTTTGTCGCATGTTGTCTTGCCAATAACATGATTCTTCTGACTTCCTTTTGGCTAACAAATTACTCTGTGGGTGACATAATGGACTGCAAATGCTGAAAAGCTGTCACAGCCAACAACAAAGAATGCAGTACAGAATATAAGAGGAAATTACAAACTGGGGAATTTAGTTTGAACATCAGGAAAAATTTCCTGACATATTTGGGTAATAAGAAGAGGGATACAGGGAAGGAGTGGTGTCTGACTGCTTCATCAGAGAATTTGTATCCTGCATCAGCCTATTGTTATTCATTTCCATCCTGCTGTGCTCCTAGGGTGGGATGAAGGATTTTAATGTAAAGTTGCAGGGATGGGCTGGATGCCATCAGACCTGTGAGAACGTTACTGTAATTGTCCCAGATATTCTAGAGCAGTGCCTATAAAGTTGTGTTCAGTTATTATTTTTCACATATAATGAAAATTAGTGTTAATTATGGAAGCTCTCTGCACACGTAAGAGGACAATCACTGCCTTCATTTCAGAATATGCCTGGGGTTTTTTGCCCAACTTTATTTGTGACCTCTCACAGAAGCTGTGTGTTATATTTGTAAGTGACACTCAGCTGTGAATTATAGTTGTCACTTTTGTCTGCTTCCCGCAGTTCTTCATTATTCAGTCTTCTTCCATTAACTCTGTTTATTTCTGTCTTCTAGGCAGAGGCAAAGCTTTAAAATGCAATAGTGACATTAATGACATCTACTTTCTTATTTTTCTAGCTTAATAACTGGAACCAGAAATTGTGTAAAATGCTTATGAAGTCATGAAAGGGCTCGGCAGTGTTCATCTAGAGAAGTGGGGAATTTAACAGACTGATTCTTGCAGTCGAGGTGAAAGAACGATCTGTTTCATAAATGATTGACTTTATAGACTAGCTTTCCAAAGGTGTTGGGCATTTTCATTTCCTGGAAAACTATGAGTCTGATCCAAAGCCTACTGATTGAGTTAGGAAACCTCTTTTGTTCGTTTGTTTGGTTTTTAATTTTGTCATTCAATTTTAAGTCAGGTTTTAAAGGTTTTCAGCCTTAACTTTCTTGGGGAAAAGTACCCCCTTGCATTTAGTGATCAGGAGCATACCCTTAAAATTTAGTAGCACACGTTCTTTAACATAAAGCTTTTCTCTTCTTTCTGTCAAAAGTTTTGAGCCTTGAAGTGTGTAACTGTGCATTTTGTCCGCTTTTCGGTAATAAAGAGCATTAAAAACAAACTTAGCAATTGTGTTTGTCCACTCATATATGAATGGGTTTTTTTGGAAATTTATATATGTTGCAAAAATAAAACTAATGCATAAATGTAGAAATAGGATATCGCAGGTATATTTTAATGAATTTAAGGATTGTAGTCCATAAACTGTATTCTAAGGATCTTCCTCTTTATAACTACCTGGTATGTAATCTCATTGGAAAATCTCGTAGGAAAATGAATCTCCAGTTCTTTATACAGGTATTTCTCCCTGTCTTAAAAAAGTATATTTTGTAAGAAAAAAAGTTGACAACTTCAAGTTTAACTCCTATTCAAGCTGATGTCAATGTTTCTTACATTGCCAAGGTAAACTCACCTGTATTTTGTTTAGAGGAACTAGAAAAACACCTTCCACTATTGAGTCTGTGTGTCAAATGAAATTATGACTTTTGTGACCAAAACAGATTTATACCAGGAGTTTAACTGAGAATTACCTTTTTTAATTCCCATTCCTGTTTAGGATACTAAACAGTATCAGAAAGTAATTCATTTTGCTGGCTACTAACATAGTGTGGACTCTGCAAGTGAAAGCATTTTCCCTGTTGCTATTATTTTATTTCCAAAAATATTTTTTCCTTTATGTTACCTGTTTCAATAATTGGTGTATGTATTTCAGAAGAGTGGGAATATGAGTGACAAGGGAGAAGAAATAGCTGCTCCAATGTGCTGGATCACTAAAGTTTCAATGGTTGGTTCAAGTTGGTTGAAAAAGTTTCAATGCTGTGTCTTCCAGAGTCGATAATTCAGAAGATCCAGTCTATGAAAGCTTAGAAGAGTTCCATGTCTTTGTCTTAGCCCATATTTTGAGAAGACCTATTGTTGTTGTAGCAGACACGATGTTACGAGACTCGGGGGGGGAAGGTAAGAGTTTTTCACTATAAATTTATGCACCTGTGTAAAGTTAATTAATCATAAACTACCACAAACAGAAGACCCAGCTGTAATATATCTGAGTGTTTATAGGATAGCTGCTGCCTTTTTTGGGGGGGAAGAGCAGAATGATACCTGATCCATTTCTGTTAGATAAAAGCAAAAAATATAGGATAATGATGCAATCTTGGTAAAAATCTCTTTAGCCTAGGTATTTACTATTAAGTTAATGACCACCCAATTATAGACCACAATACATTTCTTACTGATCTAGGTTAACAAGGTTCTAGTTTTGCTGTGTTATTTTGGTGCCCTTTAAAACTCTGCATAAATAAATCCAATCTGACTTTGAAAAATTGAATTTTGAATGCGCGTATCTTAGGTTTTTTGGTTTTACTACCTCCTCTGCAGCCTCTCATTCAAAAGTTTCAAGACTGTTTTATTCAGTTTGCACATGTGAGCACATGAATGTTAGATCTGTATTTGGAGCCAGCTGGACAGCTGTCTGAGCAGTGCTTGAATTATTAATGTAATCCCTCCTGCTTTTTAGCTAGAACTAACACAATACTAATGATAGTATGTTGCTTAACTACGGGGCAATGTTTGGTTGATTAAAGAGGGATGTTAAACACATGGTGGAGTTTACAGAAACTTCTACATGAAAATGCTGGGCAATTGCACTTTCCATTCAAATTGTGACAAGTAATTGTTGTATGATTGCTATCTGCTCTGATGGACTCGGTCACTATTGTGTCACTTCCTCATAACATTTCCTATCCCAAATTGCCCTCCCGTCACATTTTTTTCTCCTTGACCCAGTCTGACTGCTGGCCTCATGGACCAGGATGATCAAGTTTAACAGTTTAACTGTTGTATGTACAAAGTACAGGTTTTCAAAAAGACTAATAACTTGGTCAGATTGGGATAGATTGACCAAAATATAGATTAATGCCTCAAAAACAATACTGTTGTTCATCTCAAAGTCTGGAGACAGCAGACCCCTTCAAAGAAAAATCTCTAATCAAGACAGTACGCTGCTTGGGTTTACTTTTCGTTATGGTCATTTTGGAAATATTTCAGCAATAAGGACTCTTATTTTCACAGCAAAAGGAAAAATAATCTGTCAGAAGCAAACATGTTGAGAGAATTTTCCTGCCTAAACTTGTTTTTTCCTATTATTATGTATAAACAAGTGTAGAATCTCTCAAAGGAAAGAGCTTTGCCCCTACGGATGCAGCATCCCATTCCAGCTCTACTTGTAGAATTTTTGTAGTCTGTCCTCATCATTATTATATATACACACATATACGCGTTCATACGTATATGATGTGTGTGAATGCGTGGACTATAAACATGTTTGTAATGTTTCTTATAGAAATCTGTTAACGCAAGACATGAGCAGCCTATGTTACCAAAAGAACTGATGGTGTATTTGCTGGTGATTATCAGAAAATACCCATCTACCTAGAGTGTTACAGGAAGGTACCAGTCTGCATGTGAGAGTCATCAAGATTTTGTTGTAAGACAGTAATATCCTCACTAGTAAACAATTATAGCAAGGAAAATATGCATAATAGCAGCATGTTTTCATTATTGTTCTCGGTATATTTCCTGATGTTTTCTATACAGAAATTTTACCTTTTGTTATGACTGTTTTCTGCACTGATTACTCCAATTTAGGCTGCTCTCATGGAGCTCTGAAAATGTTGTAGCACAGTTGTTACATACAGTAGAACCAACGTTATTGTCTGTTCTTTGACAGTTGAAAAACAAGCCCACATTTTTCTTTGCAGCGTTTGCACCTATACCATTTGGAGGAATTTATTTGCCACTTGAAGTTCTACCTAACCGATGCCATTGCTCACCTCTTGTGCTAGCCTATGATCAGGCCCATTTCTCTGCTCTTGTTTCCATGGAACAGAAAGATCAACAGAGAGAACAAGGTACGCTATAAACAGAGCAGCTCAAGGGTATATATCGAATACGATGCACAAAGTGTACTTTCCTCTACCTGTAGGGGTATTTATCTATCAGAAAAGAAACAATATCCACTAAATTTTATTGCTGCATTCTTAAGAGTCTAAGTGGCCTAATCACAAGACTGGGAGCCAAGAATTCTTCAGTCCTAATCTTTGTGCTATCACTGTCTGGCACTTAAACCTTTTCTGGCAGTTCCATATATGTTAATAGGTGTAATCATAGTTACCTACTGCGCTTCTGAGTTCCTGCAGACCTTCGTTAGTTTGAGTTAGTAAAGTATTTGGAAAATAAGGTGAGCCAGATTGCTATGGAAAACTCATGTAATGGAAAAATCTTCAAGTTTTTACTAAAGATTCTTGTCGTTTTTTAACTGCTTTTTAAACACAGGGATTTGTATATTTATCTATTTGGGACAAAACAGACAGCTCCTTTTATGGGGAAGGCAAAAGCGTTTTGTCAAAAACATGGTGAGGTTTTAGAAAAATACAGTGAAGTTTTGCTGTTAGGTATGAGTCTTCCTTTTTTTTTTTTTTCCTCTGGTGGCACTGCAGAGGTGTTTGAAATCCCTTATGAATGCATATATCTGTAAAGTAAACATGGAATGTGTGCTGGTTGTTGAGATCTCCTGAGAGAATTTCATTTACTCCTCCTTCCCAGAGAGCAGGAACTAAATATCCTTCATTTAATTCCCTAATCCTATGTGCATTTCATCTGATTTTGGATGTATTAAGCATTTTCCGTGCTTATGAGACAGTCAACATGCTGCAGCTGTGCAAAGTAGAGAGAAAGATGTTCATTAAAATGATGCAAAGGACAAAAGAAACTCTTGAACAACGGACTTTGTTGTAGACATCTTCATGCAAGAATCTGACATCTAGTGAAGTCATGCTTCTTGGAAGGAGTGGAGAGTTTTTCACATGAGCTTGTGTGAGATGGGAAATACTCTACAAAGCATATGTATTGGCAGACTTTGTGTTGGTGAAGAGGAGACCAAATCATAAGACAGAGATGGAAAAAAAGGTTGATCTAGATGTCAGATGTTCAATGGGAAAATCAATCCAGTCCAACTATTCAGCCTTGAGAGGCACATGGCTATTTCAGGGATTTGTAGGTAGATGCCTGGCAAAAAGGTCTGGCCTTTGTATTATACATTGCAGCTGCCTTACAGCCCTCAGTCTCAAGGCCCTTAGGAAAGTGCTTTCATGTAGGAACCATTTCCAGAGCAGTACACTGAGGTATGATGTGAAACACCTCATGAGAAATGAAAGTCTCCATTTTAATGCAATAATGTGATATGAATGAAGAGTTTTGGAGAGCCTTTCTAAGGATATCGTTTCGCTGTTGATGGTTGCTGATGATGTGCTGCAGCCAGAACTGTAATGTCAGCATGCTGCTAAGTTTACACCTCCTGCACATACGTCTGTGTTACAAATTGTAGAATCACAGAATCACAGAACGTTAGGGATTGGAAGGGACCTCAAAAGCTCATCCAGTCCAATCCCCCTGCCGGAGCAGGAACACCCAGATGAGGTTACACAGGAAGGCGTCCAGGCGGGTTTTGAATGTCTCCAGAGAAGGAGACTCCACAACCTCTCTGGGCAGCCTGGGCCAGTGCTCTGTCACCCTCACTGAGAAGAAGTTTCTTCTCCAATTGAAGTGGAACCTCCTGTGTTCCAGTTTGTGCCCGTTACCCCTTGTCCTATCATTGTTTGTCACCGAGAAGAGCCTGGCTCCATCCTCGTGACACTCACCCTTTAAATATTTATAAACATGAATGAGGTCTCCCCTCAGTCTCCTCTTCTGCAAACTAAAGAGACCCAGCTCCCTCAGCCGCTCCTCAGAAGGGAGATGCTCCACTCCCTCCATCATCTTTGTAGCCCTGTGCTGGACTCTCTCCAGCAGTTCCCTGTCCTTCTTGAACTGAGGGGCCCAGAACTGGATACAATATTCCAGATGCGGTCTCACCAGGGTAGAATAGAGTTGTCTTGTTGTACAACATTCCTGCATGTCTTTGTTCTCGATCCTTTTTGGGTCCGAGTTTTGCTCATTGCAAAAGACGACAATTTCTGGAGTAGCCAGAGTCCATTTCTGCCTTTTTAACAATTCAGAACAGAATACTGTCAGTAACCTCATTTATTTCAGGCACGTCTGTCTGCCTTCATACAATACTTCATTACCATAGCTGTTACAAGAGCCTATGTGTGCAAAGAATTTGATTCAATACACAGAACTTAACTATCTCTACAGTAACTGTGCAGATAGGGCAACTGCCACCCACCAAACCTTTTGCTGTTGTGCCACCCTCTAAGTGACAGGATTGATAAAAGGTTGTGAGGGAAACCACTGTTAGCTGCCCTGACCCTACCTCTCAGTATGTGTTCAAGTATTCAGTGATTCACCGTGGTGCCACCTACTAAAATATTACTAATATTACAAGCTATGTATTCCTGTTAATGACACATTGTAAGGTTTAATAGTGGTTTGATCAAGGTCGCATATTTGATTTCTCCCACAAGTGCTAGCAATGATGTTAAATATATTTCTTGTGGTTAGAAACTGTCTTTGTGTGGGATTTTCCTACACCTGCAGTTGCACAGGAAAGGTGCTGGGAGAAAAAAAGCTACCAATTTCCCAGCAAAGCATCAGTAACATGAAATAAATAAATAAACTTGTTCATGTATAAGTTCATCCAGGTTAAGTACAAGGGCTGTTGAATCAAAAGAGTATTTGTTTTGTAATACCCAGTTTTACATCTCTTACTGCAGAGCTTTGAATACACAAGCTTCAGTTCTGTGGAGTAGCAGAGAGTACCTGGCATTAAGTCTGGGATGAAGGGAATGCTTTGGCTTTCAGCTGCCAAGCTGGTTGCTGTTAGAGACTTGGAGCAGTCTAACAGCTAACACAGCATTGTTGCTGTTCTTCAGATGCTGTGACAGGAAATAGATTGGCACGAGGATGCTCTAATAATGCCTATTTTTTCTACCTTGTCAGCGTAGAGATGTTGGCAGCTTTGGCACAGAGGAAGGTAGAGCCACAGTTGTTAAGAGTCAGGAAACACTGGCACAGTGGTACATGGCTGGATTTTGCACTTTCTGAATGCAGCGAAGAGCTTAGAGCTACAACTTCTTAAAAGGAACATCTCTGATAGCCGGGCTGTTTGTAGCTTGTAGTGTTTATACTCTAACCATGTATGCTAGCATCCTCTTGTCTGGAGAGGATTTAAAATACATTTTGACATGTCATCTTTTTGCCAGCACATAACTGGCATTCTGATGGTCACTGAAGGCCCTCTTGATTTGAAATCCACAACATCTGTATAAAAACCTGTAAATACTTTTGTATTCATGCAGGCTATATTTATGGAGATATTTTGTATCTTTTTTTATGGAAAATAAAGACCAGTTCTCAACTTCCCCTAAGACTGCTTCATTGAACTTGGAGCTTCCCACCCTTTGTCAGCCAGTCAGCAGTGAAACAGCTTCCCTCAGTCGGTTTGCAATAACAAGTGAGAGGTGAGACAGTGGTTCTTAGCAGTATGTCATGATCTGTGTCAGCATTTTATTGTACTGATGTTTTCAGAAGTAGTTAAAGTGGCACTTGAGGCATGAAGATGAGTGCTGTGAAACACTGACTTCACACCTCAGAAGGCAATACACCCAACTGAGGGATGGCAGGAAGGTCCTCTCTGCGGTGGACAAAACAGCTGCTGTTCCTTTTGATGTGACCCATCTGCTGGCATTAGGACCTGCAGGCTGTGTTTCAAATAGTGTATTTTCAGCTACAGAGCATCCAAAACCAAACATAACTGAACTACTCCTCCAAAATTGCAAACTCTTTGATGTGGCTGGGTTCCAGGAAGATGTTACAATCTGCTGGGTTTGCATGAGAAATGAATGTGATGCAGCCTTCTTGCAGTCCTAACATTAAAATACTTTTCTGTCAGGAATGTGGGAAAATCCTACGAGAAACCTCAGTGATCAAACATAATTCCCTGAGAGAGGAAATCTCCTGTAGTGAAGATAGAATTTTAAAACTCCATTACTATAGCAGATACTTTTTGCATGGAGATGGTAGTGCTTTGTACCAACCTCGGACTATCCCTTAGAATTAATGCACAGTTTCTATTCAACTCGGCATTTGAAAAATGATTATAATGTGTACACTAGTTAAGTAACAGTGATATGCTACAGACAATCAGCTCTAAGCTATGTTTTGTACTTAGATTTTAAGAGTTGAATAAAACTGAGCATCACTAAACATTTTTAATAGATATATTTTCAAGTATTCGTAGAAACAACCAGCTTTAAAAAGGTTTCCTTTAAAATTTGTTAATAAAAATTATTCTTGAGCTGTGTGAAAACTAGTTAGTTTCAAGCTGTCCTTAGAAAAGAAACTCAAATGTACTTTTCATGGTTTACATCCCAAAGAGACTGATTCACTTCTCTGACAGTGCTTTGGTCCAGGCTTCTCAGCATCTCCTGCCTCAGGATCGCATTCCTGATTCCCTACCAGGCTGTATCTCTAAAGTCAGGTGCTACCAGAAGTTTTTTGTTGTAGACTTACAATGCTTCTCTTGTCTGAGTTGCTTTTTTCCTTTAAAAGGCTGATATATTGCACTGTTACTGCGTTGTAAGGTCAGTTGTAAATGCAGTCAGTACCTGCTGACCAGTAATCCAGTTAATTGGCAGAATAAGTGTTTTCCTTGGGAAACCTGATCAGTGAATTGTGTTCTGAGTTATCCCAGCCCCTTTGTTGCAATAATTTCATTGCATGCAGCCACATAAGCCCTCATATTACACCAGGGAGCGTTAAAAATTTTATTCAGTTTTCACCTCCTGTTGTGTGTTTCTTATGTTCTTGTGCTTCAGGAGCTCACTTTACAGTGTATTTTGAATGGCTACTTATTCACATTAAGTTTATTTAAGGAGCTAAATTCCGTTACAATATTAATTTCTGTGCTTGCATCTTACAGCAGTATCTGCAAGTGAAGTTGATTAGACTCCAGCTGTTCTATATAGTGTTTGCAGTTAACGGGGGAAAGTATTTCAGGAATTACCTACTATAAGCAGTAGAGGGCAGCGTTTCCATGAAATTGTACAGGTTTGCTCTTATTTCCAGTCTGCAAAGACAAAAAAACCGTATAAGCTTTCTGCAGTTTGGATCAAACTGTCTGAATCAAATACTTTCTTCACCACGTTAATCTAAGACGCAGACTAAATTTCCTGCATGCTGCTAAGTGAGGAACAATATTTAACCAAAAATACTGTACCTTTGTTTTGACAACATGCTTTCTGAACTGCAGAAAATATTATAAACAGCATATAAGCAGTAAGTGCAATCAATTTTCAGTAATTCAGTGCAGATATGTGTCAGAAGACAGAGCCCTAGCACAGAGGGGAAAGGACAGAAGAGCAAAACCAGCGAGACAGTAATGCTGGGACCTAAGAGCAGTAATGATCTTTTTACTCCACTCAAGAGAGGCCTCAGGCTGACCTCTCAACCCATATATATTTGTTGATCTGTGCTCCTCAATTATGGTAACTTACAGTTTGAGTCCAGAATCCTTGTAACTGTGTTTTTCTTCGACAGTGGAAAACAAAAAGGTACTACACTGAAAAGACAAAATAAGTAACAAGTATGTCCATCTGTGCAAGGAACAGGCAGGAACGTTTCAACTTCTTATTGCTTTCTGCTATTCTAATGGCTCTGTCTCCAGGGAGTATTTATTGGGCATTATGAAATGGTGGTGGTGTTCTCCCAGAGGTCTCTCCTTCTCCACAGCTGACTATCTTTCACTCCAGGAGCAATTAGTGTATTAAACTCTCCCTCTCCTCTTCTATTGCCCAAACATCAAAATAGGGAAATGGAGCTTGGTATAAATAATTCGTGGTGCTCTGGACGAGACAATTCTGCAGCATACAAATTCTGCCCTTCTTCAACCAATTTTGCTGCTTTTTCACAGCTAAATAATTTTTTGTCCTTTTTGTTCCCCCCCTCCCCTCCTCCCCGCCCCCCTCAATCCTTATTTCTTCTCTACTTCAGCGGTGATCCCCTTGACTGACTCTGAACACAAGCTACTGCCTTTGCACTTTGCGGTCGATCCTGGGAAAGACTGGGAGTGGGGAAAAGATGACAATGATAACACCAGACTGGCCAAGTAAGACCTTTCTGTAACTTCAGTGTTAAGCAGTAAAATGTCCTGAGTCATATGTGGTGGAAGTACTGGGAGAACAGAGGGCTTTGTTCATGTTCTCTGGTTACATGGGAGAAGACACGGGTGGGTCTCCAGCTGATGGTCACAATTCATGCTGCTGTTGCATCTCTCCCTGTTAAGAAAGATTGCATTTTCTTTCAGGCTGTTTTTGACTGTTCCTTTCTTTTTTCATCCTTAGTTTGATTCTGTCTCTTGAGGCAAAGCTTAATCTTCTACACAGCTATATGAATGTAACATGGATACGCATACCATCTGAGACACGGGTAAGGTAAACTTCCCCCTTGGTCTAAACCAGATGAGAGATACAAGACACAGCAGGGTGTTGTGTAGGGTAGGTTGCCTGCACTGGCCAGCTGCCTGGAAATGTGTAAGTGTCCTAGCAGCAGGGACAAGTCACTCATGGCTCTTTGTCATTGCAATCAGGCTTATAGGTTTTTCCAGTTACTTGTTTTAAAAACACAGTTGCATGTCTATTTTTGCAACTCATACTCTGTTCTGAAATGTATTTTCTAGCTTAACCTTTCTGTTACTTATTTCAGTAGTCCTAGTTCAGAAAAGACTTAAAATAGACCTTTTCTCACCATTGTTTTCTCAGAACTTTGGCTTGCTCTCCTAATGCCACTGTTGGGTCACCAGTCCCAAGTCCTTTCTCTTTCTGAAAATACATTTGCAGCCCTGGACAGCTCCCAGTTCAGAGCGGCTGACAAAAGGCCACAGACTGGCACTGAACTGGAGCCTGGTTCTTTCAGAAAGCTACTTTAGAACCATGCCCAGCTGGCATCTAGTCAGCTGCAAATTTCTCTGCAAATTACATTGAGTTGGTTGAGGGGTTAGTCTGGAGGCAGAGGGTTGCTAGGAGAGGATGGAGGTGGTTTAGACAGACTACACAGATGGCATTTGAAAGGAGGAACAGAACACAAAAGGAAAAAGTGTTTAACAAGCTGCAAGAGGGGAAAAATCCATTTTTCTAAAGTGGTAGTTGCCACATCAGAAATAGGAGAGGCAAAATGGTCCTGGAGTTGTAACCTGTGAGCTTGAAACTTAAGGGAACTGGGTTACCTCTCCCTGCTTCACACTTGCCTCATGAGCATGGTCAGGTCACTTTAGCACTCATTTCCTCCTTTGACAAGTGGGGATAACAGCTCTGCTCCCAACTGGGTGATGGAGTGCTCAGGGATCCCAGAGAGAGAGGACATTTAAGTACCCAGGGACCAGAAGCAGGCATGCATTTCTTTACTGGAAGTATATACATCCAGATCTTTCCCCCCAGCCCCACTCACCCTCTGAATCATTATGGTTAGTTAAATGCTTCATACTTATCTCTAGCAGATTTTTGCTTTCAGACATCATGAATCACAGTATGTTAGGAGTTGGAAGGGAC